GACCGACATGCCAGCGGAAAAAACAATACACTCAGCACATTTATTAATGCAACTTGGTCACGCAAAGTTATTTCAAGATGCATACTTGTCGTGTGTTGTTGTGTTTCATGTGTGTGTTGTCTCAAATGCAGATCCAAAGACACATTTCAATGATATGCAAATCTAGTGGACAATAAAGTCATCTGAAATAAAAGAAAACAGCCTTGTAGGAGAAACCTTTGCCCTTTAAAGGTTTTAGCAACAATTGCACCTGGAAAAAAACATATTTCAAGCAAGCAAGAGAAAAAGCGTTCAAACACTATATTAGGGAAATACTTCTTGCATCTGCACTTCAGATACAAACAAAACATATTTTTCCCCAAATTTCACCAAATGTTTTCTTCAGGTTTTTCTCAGTAGCTTTGAAAAATGCATTATAGCAACCATGGCTTCTTTGCTGGAGAGAAAAGCATAATCCTAAGAACGTATTTCCAAAACGTTCCTTTCCAGTCTTATAAATAAACGGGCCAAGTATCTTCAATTCAAGTTGTATCTTTCTCTAAAACACATCATAGTTTATCTTTAAAGCAGCACTCTGTCCTGGCTCTGTGCTGAAAGGAGCTCTGTGCTCCCGGCCGTCAGAGTTTTGGGCTCAAGCTGTTGGCTCATTCGGATGTTTTGGCTCTTCTGTTTACACAAGTAAATCCCCATGCTGGAGTCTCTATGTCAGCCTTCCGCTCCATGCCGGCCCTGTCACCCCTCCTTTATACAGCATAGGAAACACAACATCAAACCAGGGCCTTGTTCCCCAGTTACATCCTTTCACCCTCCAGTCAATTCTTAAACTAGTTTCTGTATTTCCATCTAAGTAATCCAACCATTTTTCTCTTATTTGTTACTAACAGTCTCAAGACAACCCTGCAGAAAAAGCTCTCCGGGGACTGCGTCGACCTGTCAGGCATCCCCCTGTCCACCCGCGACGTCCGCCAAGTCTTCTTCTACCTCCAAAACAACAGAGACAGCGTGGTGGCTGTGGACATCAGCTTCACCGACCTCCAGGACGACAACCTGAAGATTCTCCTGCCTCTGCTCGCCGTGCTGCCCAAACTCAGCACCCTGGCTCTGAACGGTAACCGCCTCACCCTGGTCATCCTCAAAGACCTCACAGAGATGCTCAAAGACCCCAAGATGTTCTCCAGCCTTGCCTGGATCGACCTCGGCAACAACGTGGATATTTTCACCATGCCGCAGCCGCTGCTGGTGGCGTTGCGTCGGCGCTGCAGCCTCAAGAGCAGCCTACCGACTATCTACGAGTACACAGAGGGGCAACCCTACTGCTACCACCTGGAGACCTCCATCGAGGAGCCCAGCCACTACGAGGAGGAGGAGGTGGAAGAGGAAGACGAGGATGACAAATTTGAGCTGGAGCAGTGGAGTTTAGGGGAAAAGCAGCTCTCCAAAGACTTCACCATCCACTACTGTGAGAGGTGATCGGGCTTTCCCACTTCGAGGCTCTTTCAACGGGGGTCGAAATGCGTCCCACAGCACTCTGTTACCTCCTTTGCCCTATTGCCCTCACACCACGAGCCCTGTCACCCTTCGAGGCACGAGGGCGACATGTGCCCACATTGTGAACTTCTCGTCCCGACACAGCTACCAAGCTATCCCTAACCATCTCTGAGTTAACGCACACAAGAAGAAAGTGACGACGGTGGACTTACTGTGTTGGTGGATGGTGCTCTTGGGAACGAGGTGCGGTTTCATTGGAGGGGGGCTGGAAGAGTTAATGAAGCGGTTCTCTCTCTCTCTCTCTCTCCCTCCCTCTCTCTCCCTCTCTCTTTCTCTCGTTCTCTCTCTGATAGTGAGGAGCCAATCCCAAGGAGATTTAGTTCAGTTGGTTGTATGGATGAGCAGCATCCCGGCGGTGGTTAAAAATGGAGCTGGAGTTAGTTTGGAAACAGAGGGTCCCTGTGGGTTCTCTACCAGGACTGAGGCTATCTCTGGCAGGCAGAGCCTAGCTCCACATTGTGTGTTCTCTGTTAATCTCTCAACAAAAGCTATGACACAAGTTCAACAGACTATACAGCCGACGACCCGTCACGTGACGCCAGCAAAACTGCTATGTCAAGACTTTTCGCGTATTCCCCCCCTTTCCAAATGTCCACTTGTGAATACCCACGCAGCCCTTGTGTAGATGCAAATGAGGGCACAAAACATGATTCTCTTGTGTTTACACGGGCTATTTTTGTGCACTTTTGGTGAACAAAGCAATCTTAGAAGACAACAGGTAGGACTCAACAATGGATAGCTGTCACTGCTTGTTTTTATACTAGCCTAAATGCTGATATTGGTCTTACTGAGCTGATGTAGCTATCACCACAGTGTTTTCAGTGCGTTTATGACACCACAGCCAAGTGTTTATGTGGGCCAGCTAGTTTGAGCAGTGCTGTTGGTCCTACTGCCGTTTGTCTCTTCAAATATGTAGTCATTTCCATTTATTGACACCGTACTTCAGTGGCTCTGCGTTTCTTATGAGACACAAGCATGACTGTTAAATATCGGTTATAGTCCATCTACAGTAGCACATAATGATGAAGTTAGACTGACTGAAAGCACTTTAAGGATACTTTTTTCTTTATATTTCTGTTTCTCCATATCATAACTTCTGTGTACATTGTTTGTATGTACGAAGCTGAACGCAAAACCTCTTTTAAGGGTGAAATGATGACCAAATGGCTATTGATTGTTAGAATGATCATAGAAAAATCACCAGATATATAATAAATGTTTAAGTGTGTGTTATATGTGTGTGTGTAACAGTAAAATATCTGATTACTGCTGTAATTATTTGTGTTGTTTTAGTGTTTCGTCTTTTGTCTGACTCTGTAATTATAATAATGACTCTTAATATGAAACTGACCTCCAGCTGTAAGCTTGCAGAGCAAACAAAAAAAGGGACGTGGCTGATGGGATTACACAATAAAACATGAACTAGATCAGAAAATGCAGAGAACTTTCAAATCGAATGTGAAATGTGAATGATGGAAAGCACTGTCCACTTTGTTTAGTATTTTATGTTCCCGTGTGTCAAACTTTTCTTGTAGCCTGTGTGTTCTTGTCTCATGCCAAACACTGACTGCCAATAAAAGAACCAATCCCAACTCAGAAGTCTGAATTTGTTTCATTTTGCAGATCTCCACAGTGTAAAAAGAGTGAATTTAAGTAACTGGGTCACAAGCAGAACCTGCAGCTACTGAAAGAAACTGAGGGTTTATTTTATGCAGATTAGTCTGCAAATAGATGAATAAAAGAAAAGGCTCAAAGCATGCTGACGTAGGAAGTGATTTAGTTGTTTGTGAGCCAGAAGGTCATATGTGTGCTGTCAGTGCTAGAATACAATTTAGTACATTTAAGTACACTTCAAGTACTATACTTTAGTAAACATTTGAGGTATTTGTAATAGAGAATGTTCACTTTTTTATTTTATACTTCTACTGCACTTCATTGTGGAGGAAACGGGTGTAGTGTAGCTCTAATTTGATAGCTTTAGTTACCAGATACTTTGCAGATTTGGAATATTAATAAAACATGCACATCAAATAATACATTATTATCTATAATTAAAGGTTAATATACCAGGCAGTATATATATATATATATATATATATATATATTCAAATAAACCCTATCTTTACCAATTTAAACATAAGGTGATGAACACATTAATGCATCACTTATAACAGAATCATGTAATACATGGTTCTGTAATATAGGCCATTCTGCAAAACGACTACTTTTAGTTTTGGTACATTTTGATCCTAATGCTTTTGCTAAAATACTTTTACTTGTTACAGAGTATATGTACTGCTAATCTTTAAGGGCCATTTCTGAATACTTTCTCCACCACTGTGTGTTGTCAACAAAAGGGCTGCCTCTGTTCCAGGGAAAGGCAGTGCGGTCATCTACCCATAATGCTCTCCTGGCTACCTTTTGTTTCTGCTGTCAGTCATGGTAATGTGACATTTGCTACAGGTGGCTCCTATAAGGTCAGAGCACAGTGTGACTGTCACACCCCCTGAGGTCCAAATACCATGTGAGAGGGCACAAAGCACACCCTTAAAAATAACCCGGATCACATCTGACCTTCTCCTTCAGGGTTGATATGTTCCCGAGATGTTGAAGGAAATAAAAAAACTGAAATATATTTATTTCCCTTTAATGTGTGAATTGAAGGCATTCGTGCCTTTGTACAGAGTGTTGGAGCTATATATTATTTATTCGTTTTCTTGTTGTTTTTGTGTATAGTAAATGTTCTATTATTTAGTGATGTTATTGTAGTTAGTTAAAGTACTTTTATGCTTTTATTTTGAAGGCATCTTTGGGCACTGGGTGATTAGGGCACCTGTTGTAATTGTATATATTGGAGACAGGTAGTGGTGAGAGCCAGAGCACTAGTAAGCATATCGTTTTCTACCAGGGTTATTCAAGCAAGCAAGAAAGAAAGCCATAGGAAAGGCTTAAGGAAAGTACACCTTTTCATTGTACCTTTGGGATATTGGATCATGGAAATAAAATGCACAGAACTGACGATCTTGTCTGGACTTGGATCATTCCCTGAGTAAGATTCGCTATCTGGTGCCTCAGCAGCAATCATACTTTTAACTATGATTTTGGCCGCTACACAGAGGTTTAATATTTATATATCTTCACAAACTTTCCCCCTGGAAATGGTTCTCTTGTTAGTCACTATTTGATCTGATTCAATCAATCAATCAATGATTATCTTGCTCCAGCTGCTGCATACTCAGGCACAACATAATGTAATAAAACCAGCACAGAGCAGTCACACAGGTTTCTCAGAATACATTATGGCACGGAGCGGTGCATCGACAAATTTAAAAAGCAGTGACCTCAGGGTTAAAAGCCAGATGAGGGCCATTTTGGTGTTCTATTGGTTGTTTTGATTCACAAGTTATTTTCCTTTGATTTATTACCATATAAATGCAACACCAAAAACTAAATATTTGTACATACCTTTTAATGTATACATTCTCTTTGCGACACCTTTATTAAGTTCATTCATTGCACCTCTTCAGCTATTATCGTGTCAAACTCAAGAATTGCGAGAGATTATATCACCCACACATAAAACGTTTTTAAGAATAAATCTAAAAGGTTTTAGCTTATTTGTGAAATTGCTCATCGAGGTATGGATAACTGATATCTTGCAGGAAATTTGCATCTAAATAATCAGCTTTCGGGAAGTTCCTCAGTGTTTTAAAACATAAAAGTTATAATAGAATATAAAACATGGGTGGGAAAAAGCTTTACTTCATTATCATACCTATAACTGTATTTAATTTGCTGTATATTCAATAAAATGTGGTCTGGAAAAGTATTTTGTATCTCTGACATGAATGTAATTTGCAAGATGTTTAAAAATGGAATGCAAATATGTTTACAGTAGAAAGACACAACTAATGACATAAGTGGGACGATGTGTACGAATAAGCTGATTCACAAGAGGTCACATTCAGTCACGGTTGTTTCTTCGATGACGGTCAAATCCATCATGTCATCGTTACAGTCAGTTATGTTCACACACCACGTTCATCTGCAGAGGCCTGGTATTCTGTGACATGTTCGATGATTTAACACCATCTGTGTTGCAGAAGGGCTCCGTGACCTTCAGGCCCTCCTGCCTAACCTCCTGGTCTCAGTAGCCGGCGGCCTCGCCCATCTTCCTGGCGTCAGACACGGCGCAGATGCAGCCATCTTTCTTCTCCACAGCATTCACCACGTTGTAGAAAATATTCCCATCGTTCGGATTTTGTCCCAGAGCCTTCAGAGCCTCGATTACTTCCTGAAAGGGGAATAGGAGAGGGGACTACAGTATGATGCAACCAAGTACTCAAGTGCTGTGCTCAAGGAAGCACTTTACTTTATTATTTCTATTTTATGCTTTTAAAATTCCACTCAACTTTTTTTTAATATTATTCTTTTTACACAACAATATTTGTTTATTTTTATGATTCAGATAACTAGAATTATAAAATATAAATGTATAAATAAATTATGATGCATTTTTAAAGGTAATCAGCCGTTTATATAGCACAGTTATAACTTATATCCATCTTTATTAGCTGCAATATTGAAATACACCGTTAATTTCCCCACTGTGGGAATAATAAAGAATTTCAGATTCTGATCTGATTAATGTATTATTAATTATAGTTCACTGATATTATATAAATGATACTGAAGTGGGCCATTCTGCAAAATGAGATGTCTACTTTTACTTTAAATACTTTAAGTACATTTGTATTGGGCCCTATTATTCTTTTGGGGGGTTTCCCTATCTGTTATATAGGTTTTGGTGCATGTAAATGGTCTGTAGAGGTAAAAATCCCAAAGTTTCCTCCCCCACACACTCCACCCCTGCCTGAAACGCGTCCATTGGACTCCTTTGTTTACCTCCTAACATGATGACATCATTATGTAACACTTGATCTTCTATCGAGTAGGATTTTTAATGAAGGTGTGAGTTAACTAACAAATCCAAAACTTAGTTAAAATGTATAGAATGTATTACCTGATCAAAGTGGGGTTCAAACTTTACTGAATTGAAAGAGTTGATAAAAAAAACCGGAGCAGCAATCGCCTCCTTTAGGCTCTTCCCAAACCAGAGGTAGTTCATGAGTGTCTGGAAGAAAAAGCAGAACAATACTTTGCAATCTGCCAGATGGGAAATTGATGAGCACAGAATGGATTACAAGCATTGGAAAGACACTCCCGAAGACAGCACTTGCTGTGATAACAGTGAGGGGCATTAGTGTGCAGCCATTTATCTTAATAGCACTTAGTGTGATTGTACCGAGGCCATCCCAGTGGTGATCATGCTCCCGCCTGTCGATCCAATCACCAGCGTCCTGGACGCAGACTTCAGCACAGCGGGGGCCATGGAGGATGGAGGCTGCTCCCCTGACAACACAACAAAAGCCTTGACTGACAGGACACACACCTTCAATTCAGACTCATCAATGTGAGAGGAACGAGAAGGAAATTATTATAAATGCAATCAGAGTCTTTGAATGATGTGGATCACGAATGGGCATTGAGAAACTAAACTGTCTATTTTTCCCTAGTTCCATATTTTGTTAACCCAAACAAAAATGTATTGGGTGCAATCTTTTTCCTGTAAGACATGTCCTCACAGAGGCCAAAAGAAGTATGTTTTGCATTTAACAATCATTAACTGGAAACAGGAAATGTGTCATGCTTATCTGTTTACCAGGAAATATCTTATTTGTTTTTCCACAGAAGTCCGTCAGCTCGTTGTTTAAAATGATTCCGGTTCTCGGAGAATAGACCTTGGAGCCAAATCTGTGGTGAAAAAAACATTGGGAACTTGTTAGACATATGCTCTTCTAACAATTATGGAAGATCTCAGAGGCCAATGAGCAAAAAATATTAACTGTGGTCATCATTTTTCCAACTGTTTTAACTGAAAACAGGTGGGGGAGAAGTTTTGGAATGGGAAATTCTCTTTTTTTCCAAAATATTTGTAGGTGTTTTAATAGTAATTTCTGCCAAAAGAGGCTGAAGTGCACCATTACCCAGGACTAAAAGCATTCATGCCTTCTTCCATGTGTTGACATGACATTATCATTACAATAAGACTACCCTTATAAAGGGTTTACACATAGTTTGTAATTCATTTATTAATTAGGTTGTGAACACTTTATAAATCATTAATAAGCTTTTATAAGACATGAGATAAACAGGGCAACTGTGACCGGTTGCTTGCCAAATAGTGAGCCCACATTTATCTGTAGTGCTAAGCCTTATTATAAATGGTAGTAACTCATTAATACATGGGAATGTGTTGTGTGTAACCTGTTACGTGTCGTAGTGGGTGCTGGTGTGTTTGTGTGTGTGTGTGTGTGTGTGTGTGTCTTTCTATCTCTCTATATATTGTCTTCAGGGTGTTAACTTCAGGTGCAGCCTCTCCCTCCAGGTGCATTTATCTGTAGTGCTAAGCCTTATTATAAATGGTAGTAACTGAATGTGTTGTGTGTAACCTGTTACGTGCCGTAGTGGGTGCTGGTGTGTGTGTGTGTGTGTGTGCGTGTGTGTGTATGTGTGTGTGTGTGTGTCTTTCTCTCTCTCTATATATTGTCTTCAGGGTGTTAACTTCAGGTGCAGCCTCTCCCTCCAGGTGCATTTATCTGTAGTGCTAAGCCTTATTATAAATGGTAGTAACTGAATGTGTTGTGTGTAACCTGTTACGTGCCGTAGTGGGTGCTGGTGTGTGTGTGTGTGTGTGTGTGTGTGTGTGTGTGTGTGTGTGTGTGTGTGTGTGTGTGTGTGTGTGTGTGTGTCTTTCTCTCTATATATTGTCTTCAGGGTGTTAACTTCAGGTGCAGCCTCTCCCTCCAGGTGCAGCTTCTCCTCCAGGTGCTCCCAATCACCAATCAGGGCCTCCATAAAGGACAGTCAAGCTCCCCTTCTCCTCTGGCTGCATGGTGTCTATGTCTCTGTGTAATTTGCTTTGCAAGTTGGCTGGTGAGCCCGTTTTCTACTTGTCCATCATTGGTAATTAAACCTCCCTTTGTGGCTTCAGAAGATCAGTTTCCGCTCTTTTTTCTCGTGCCTGGTCATTTCTGTGCTTTGTTACTTCCCTTCGTACCCCTAGATTAGGAGGGAACGTAACACTTTACAATAAGGCTCCCTTTTGGCAACTATAAATGTTAGTAATTCATAAATAAATGGTCATAAAGAGATGCCAAGAAACATCAAGATGGATGGGGGGGGGAATCAACTTAGTGAACAACAGATACCAAGGATGCTGGCTGATGAAGAAGACGAAGTAAGCTAGGTAGCCAATATAAAACTTAGCAGTACAGATAAATGTGGGCTCACTATTTGGCAAGATGACTAAGCCTTATATTGGCTGCTTACTTCGTCTTCTTCATCAGCCAGCATCCTTGGTATCTGTTGCTCACTGAGTTGATTCTCGCTAAGTAGCCAATACAAGGCTTAGTCATCTTGCCAAATAGTGAGCCTGTGTTGATGAATGAAAACTATGTTAGAACTGGTTTATAAATGGTTCTTAATGACTAATAAAGTGTTTACAACCTCATTTGTAAAGTGTTACCCATTATTGTTACATAAACTTGCTAACACATATTGAGATCTTCATAGTTTGTTGAATACTTAAAACGAAAGTTAGTTATAATCAAATATAATCAATTATATTCTTGTATAACCCACAATGAAAATGCTTCATATTTTAGGTTTTTCTATATTTACAGTATAAACAAAACACAAGTGATTTGTTAAATTGAGTGTAAGGCCTATAATGATTTATGGGTGTCACTGTTTCAGTTTCTTCCCTCTCCTCTCACAGCGGTACACAGGGAGGGGGGCTCCGGACTTAAGGAGAAATACATTGAGGCCTCAAAAAGGTGGTGGTTAAAGGTGGTTGTTATGTCATAGCCATGTCCTTTTTACACAAACATGGAAAGGTGTCTTATGCCATAGCCAATATAATATGTCTGGTTATGTCCAGTCCTGTACATCAGAGGCCATGCCCAGGTTTCCACAAATATGGGTGTGGAGGAGGTGTCTTAGGTTTTTATATCCTGTTGTTGAGCATAAAGACACTGGCTTTTTGGGACAGAGCGAGAGAGGGAGGGGGGCTTCCCCTGGTATGTTCTCTCTCTCGGTAAGCTCTGTCCCTCAGAGCTGGGTTAATAGCTCTCGGTAAGGTTCTCTCAGACTTGGTAAATATCTCAAATGTCTTGGTTGAATGCTGAGTGAATTACTTTGTTGAATGAGTGGAATGAATTGAAGTGTGTTTGTGAGTATTAGTAACCGCCACCTGTGAGGATCTTCCTCCAAATACCTGCGGGAGATAGGTATGTGTTTGTGGATGTTAGTACCCGCCGTAAGGGAAACTTCTGCAGCAATGGAGAGTCAGGACTCAGAGAGACACGAGGAGAGTTGGAGCTTTGATGTCTGTGTCGGATAGGAGTGTGTTTGTGAGTATTAGTAACCGCCACCTGTGAGGATCTTCCTCACAGGTGGAGGATCTTCCTCCGAATACCTGCTGGAGATAGGTATGGGTTTGTATGGGTTTGTGTCGGAAAAAAAGTATGGAATTGATGTAAATTGATTTGGTGAATGAAAAGTTGAATGTGCTTTTTATTATCACCGGTCTTTTTATGAGGAAATGCCTCTAAATTTTATCGGGAGATTTTAAATATCACAACTGAATTGGGCAGTTGAAGTTACAAATTATGGTAATAAATGTAAAACTGTGAATAAAAGTTTCATATTAGAACATGATCACAGCATGATAGTTTTAGTATGATTATAATGTTGTAAAGAGAGAAGGTAAAAACCCTGTATTAGTTTGGACCTATTTTTCTTCAAATAAACTGATCCCACCTTTTGGACTGGGACAACTTAAAAGACATCTGCGCTCTCCTCTCCTGCTTCAAAGGTAAGATTGCACCCTGCCACACTCACACTTAGGTAGGGCCACACCTCATTTACTGATATCAAAATCCTTCGGGATCGCTTAAACAGATTCAAGAGAGTTGTCTGAATTGAATTGAACCTGGTTCTTCAGGAGTTAATAGAGGTGAGATATTGCTGACGTTGGTGGATCTGAGCCAAGCAGTAAACTTACATAGACTCAATAACTTCGGTTAGGTCAATTAGTAGGTCTGAGTAATTTCCCGGAATAAATTATCAGCCCTCACCGACTCTTACACCCAATATGTGTACTTGAACTTTTTACTGATCAAAATCATCCTGGAAATTGTGTTTTTTCCCAGGCAAAACATTGTTATTTTACAAGTAACATTTAAAAGATTATCCTGGCATTTGTTTTGTCACTTAATCTAAAACACAGAAAATAAAATAATTTAAAATCAGGATTAGAAAATGTTTTACAACAATATTTTTTTCTCATTTGCTTCTCAGGACTTCCGTACGAAATGAATGTTTCTCTAATTCTGCTTTTGAACTGCAATGACTGAAGTATTTTGAAAATAGAGATTTACTTTTAAATTCCTTTTACAATAATCTCCTAATTCTTCCTAATCCTCTGCTTTCAAACCAACAGTAATACTCAATGGTTGATTCTTGCTGTAAAGCAGAACGCCTTCAGATACTGACATGTGGTTGATGGTGCTGGTGACAGACACAGCGGATCCATCCTCCGCCAGCACCGACACATGGGTGGTGCCCACGCTGTCCAGATACGGAGTGATGTTGTAATACTGGTCATCATGAGTCCCCTCGCTGCTGATCAGGCTCCGTATGTGCTTGGCGAAGCTGTCCTCTGTGAATTTCTTGGCTATCTGTAAAAAGTAGAGAGCATTCAAAACCTTGTACATGACAAAACACTAATTACAGAGCTATGGTTTTGATTGTATTTCAGGCTTCTCTCTTCTTTGTAAGGAAAACAAGAAGTGTAATAGGAACTAAGTTTCAAAATGAATTGGACCCTGTTTTTAACCATGCTTCTGAAACTCTTTTTTTGTATCAAACATTTTACCTTTTCTTTAGAATAAGTATGCCTATATTAAAATGAAGAAATGTTGATGTCAATAGTTGCAGTTTTATGGTGGGGTACACACATGTAGACTTTAGCTTAGCCTACAATTAAGTCTCTAAATGTGCCCGTTATTTCAAGTTGCTACAGATGGATAGACCAACTAACCAGAGATAGTTTGGATGTTTTTGGTTTAACCTCGAGCAACCTTTTTATTTTTCTGACCAAGCAGGGGTCAACACTTGTCCCAAAACCTCTCCTGACTTTAACAGTCAAACTGCACTACATTTCAGACTTTTTACTCCACTACATATATCCGACACCTGTACAGTTTTTTACTACATAGACATAGAATCGACAAATAAAATGTCATGCATTAGTTATAAACAGGGCTGCACATAACTGGTGCGCAGGTGCGCATGCGCACCTCGGCCAAAAAAAGAGCACCGGGTCATTTGAAAAAAGGCGCATTTGCGTACCAACATTGAGAGAGAGGGAGAGAGAAGGGAAAAGAGAGGAGATAGAAGAGAGAGAGCGAGAAAGATATTTGCGAGTTGCATATGAACTCAGGGCCGGCCCGCCGCACTAGCGTTGATTTTCGCCTAGGGCGCCAGATCTGGGAAGGTGCTGCGCTGGTAGTTCTGGGAGGGAAACAAACATTTTTGACCGTTGGTGCTCATCCTAATTTTCGGCCTTGATGTAACAACATTCATAATTAAGTAAATGTAACACCCTTTTCACCCCGGTTACACGTTTCATTTGCCCTGTACGATGGGCGCTGTAAGTGATGAAAATGGGGGATGTTGGCTTATCTGGCACCCGCAGCTCACAGCCAAAGTGCGAGTGAGCGAGGGAGAGAGGGAGGGTGCACCGGTAGCGGCGCTGTTGTTATTAGAATCTGGTGCTAGCTGCGGATATAAGAAGAAGATGTTTCTACAATGATGTGGAGGGAGAGTCCTCTCCAGTCAGACCGAGAGACTGATAACTACAGCTCAGTGAGGTAAAGGACTCTGAGTGTTTAGATAGTTCACTTTAGTCTAAGTTCAAACGGTTTGGTCACAATTTATGTAAACACATATTTTCAAGGCACTCCTTTATAATTATTGGGATAAACAGGTTTGAAATCATTCCAATGTATACTATAGGACATTAACCAAACATATCCTTTTAAAAGTGGACTTTCGACCCAAAACCAGCTGTTGACTTGTAAGCAGCTAATCGCAGACTCAACCAGAGAGAAAGTAGTAGGCCTACATCATCAGCTACCATGTCTGACAGAGAGGAAGACAGTGAGGAGAACAGTCAGGAGGGTAGTGATGACAGCTTGTAGGATTACTGGTCGTGCTAATGTTGTCTTGTGTTTGCCTCTGCATGTGTGTTCTGTGTTCACCTCTGCATGTGTGTTCTGTGTTCACCTCTGTGTGTTCTGTGTTCACCTCTGTGTGTTCTGTGTTCACCTCTGTGTGTTCTGTGCCGTGTGTCTGACAAATAAAGACCGGTTTATTTATTTCGTTTTAAGGATGAGCACCAAGCAACATCTCCAGGTGTTCCTTTGAGAACCAGGGCAAAAAAGTTATGTGCACCCCTGGTTATAAATGAAACCCTTTAACAATGAATAAATAACTTAAAACCATATCCACCAGCTATTCTATAAAACAATAACATTTGTATTTGAAGAACATTTACCAAACAATGCTTTTGAACTTTTACTAAAGCAAACAATCTAAATACTCTTTCTACCTCTGGGGATAAACCATGAGAGACTTCACTTTTTCTTTTAAATAACTTACTTTTTCTGAGCTGAACCCTGGATCACGGATGTGTTTCTTTAATCCATTGGCAAACTTAAAAGCTTCGATAATACGATGATACGCCAGTGTCTTTTCTTCCTTATGTTTCAGAGTTGCCGGACTCAAGTTGTATTCTATAAATAAAATACATTATTTAGGTTTCCCACACATAAAGTCTGGTATCTAGATCTTTTGGCATTGCACAATCTCATTCCTGCAATCATGTAGGTTAGACATGCAACAACCAATCAAGGCATTCATTTCTCTTCTCAACACATGAACTAAGTTTGTATGTGATTTCAAAGTGGGGATGCATAGCAAGTCTGCAGTGTGTGTGCAGGAGGAACCTTTCATGATGTTCAGGATGAGGCTGAGGATAATGCCTCCTGCAGGGGGCGGAGGGAAGTACATCTGGTACTCTCCCAGAGTAATCGCCCACGCATCAGTCACTGTAGCTCTATACGACGCCAAGTCCTGCACCGTGAGTGTTCCTCCTGAGCAAAACACAGAAAGAAATGGTGGTACTCAGCAGAACTGACTGAAAATGCATCTTAGCTCCACATAATTAAGAATTGTAATGGATACAGCGACTAAAACTGGAGATTATGAGGGATCTCTGCAGTGGTTAACAGTCCCATTAATTTGTAAATGGATCACTGCGAGGGAAAATTGTTGAAAAATTATGATGAAATCTGTTTGACAATACCTGCCTCCTGTATGTCACGGATTAAATCCTCAGCTGTTTTTCCGTTGTAGAAGGCGTCTGCTCCCTTGTTTGCAATCATCTCTAAAGTGTCGGCCAGTTTCTCACGTTTCATCATATCACCAGCCTTCAGCAATTTTCCGTCCTTATCTGAGAACAACTTTCTGGCAAATACCACGAGAGAAAGCATACATTTAAATACAAATGTTTTTGCAAATCATATTTGTGGGTCATTTTCAGGGGGTGTTTTTGTACCTTAGTGGCTCTGTCTTGTCGGTATCGGTGTAGGGGATGTATCGAGCTTGGATCGCAGGAATAGGAAAACCTTCTCTGGCCAGTTTGATGGTTGGCTGGAAGAGAGAGGCCCATGGCAACTTCCCATAAAGCTTGTGTGCCTGCTCATATCCCCGAATTTCCCCTGGGACTCCGATCCATGCGCTACCTGTGTGGATGGAAAGATGGATAGACTGATTTAATCACGTTCTGAATTTTTTTTTGATGGATGCATTTCCCTTTTTGATTGGCGGGTTAGTCAGATCACCTAAGGGTGTGGAGACCGGCTCTTCATTAACATTTGAGTACAATTTGTGCATTTACTCTCTCGTCCAGTGAGAGAGTGGGAACGCCCTTTCTCCAGGGCTTAAGGGCAGAGGGGAATTACACGCCCACTATTCTTAATCAACATTTCAGCAGATATTATCAGCCAAAAAACTCTGGATTCCCTTTTGAGACTTTCTTGCTGTCTCAACTTTTCTGATAGAAAGTGATATTGCACAGGGCAACCTGCACTCTTTATTTTTTTTTAATCAAAACCCCTTCATACACATGTCCTTATTATTGAAAATACATTTGATTATTAATACAATTGAATTGGATTAAATTGTATATTATTAAGGAGACTTTTTTTCATTGTGAATGCACTTGTGAGATTTGTTTCTCAATATCCTTTATTATAAAAGGCTGGTAAATACTTCTGAGGCTTCTTCCCAATTGTAATATGCTGCCCCACTATTTACGACTAAGTTTCTTTTTCCAATTTGTGCCATTAATGACTTCTTCTTCAACACATTTTTCCTGGAAATATTCTACATTTTACTACGATACATTAATCTAAAAGAATGTTCACATTACAATTGTTTTTTTTTGATGAATTTGAATAAAAAAGTAACTATGAATGTTACAGATTTATGTTTTGTATTAGATATAGATACATCATATGCCCATAAAGTGGACTCCCACCCTATAGATTACAAAATAGCTGAGAACAGTTGCAGTAGTTCTTTATGTTGTTATTCTTTCCACAAAGACAGATTACCCCTCTAAACTTCTCACATGGTTCCATTTAATACGATGATTATAATATCCAATATCTTACTGAAAAGGTTATATTTATAGCATCTTTTGATGTCTTCTATTTTATATGTATCTTTCTTTAACTTTATTTTAGTACACATTTGAAACAAATAACTATATCTTACCTTTTATTGGTCAATAAAGTTGATTCTTATATTTACTGAACTCAATAATCTGATAACTTGTTCCTCCTCTTATAGGAATGGAACAAAAGCAATCAAATATTCATTTTAAATTACTAACAGAAATGTATTTGTGAACTCTTCCATAGTTTTATCTTTTGACATTTTACATTCATTTTTTTGCTTTGCTCTTCCCATTTGATTCGACTGAACACATTTTTTCTTTTTCTGTGATATTGTTTTCGGTATATCAGTTACAGAAGTATTTCAGGTCTACTTAAATAGCCTCACAGGTTGCATGTCGCAACAAGATTAATAGCTAGTTTGAGACTCCTGTTCCACTTTGTGTGTGGTCCTGGCTGTTCAGATCCTATAAGGGGACTGCTGGCCCCCAGTGTGTATACAATCACAGTATACTGTTAGGGAAGCAAGCATGACAAAGAAGAAACTACGATGCATGTCCAAGAAAGGTCTGACAGCACTTCAGTCCTAAACTTGACACAAATATTTCACCTTCAAGTCCTTATGCGGTGAATGCTTTTCTCCAGATGTGAACCATTATACTGCAGAACATTCACAGAGAATAATAATTGTTATTCGTGCTTCCTGTAGCATGATAATGCAAAGCCTGGTAAACAAATACCTGGAACTACAGTCAGAGCGAGAAAAACAGGTAATGCTCCTAATGCAAGAACCAGGAATAGAAAATCACTAATGGAATGTAACAGGAAGTGGCAGATTTATAATTGAGTATTTAGATTTCCTGCTACTCTATACTTCTACTCTACTACATTTATCTGACAGCTTTAGTTACTATATTGTTTCAGAATCGGATTAAAAATACAAAATATAATCAACAAATTATGAATCATGTATTATTATTATAAGGTAATCCACAATTCACAAACCACACTGCAGTGTATTAAGCTGCAATATAAAAGTGAAAAACAAATGAATGCATCATTTATTATAGTTAAAATATAACATGCTATTAAATCTCATTTGGAAATGGGCTGTTGTGCACAATGAATGCTTAGTTTAGGTCAGTGGTTCTCAAACTTTTTCTGTCAGGCCCCCCCTTTGGAGGAAAAAAAAAGTCGGGCCCCCCCAACACAAATAGTCAGGCTCAGTGGCGGCGCCAGAGATTTATTTTGGGGGTGCTGTGGGGTAGCTTGACGTTTCATAGAGGGTGCTCAAACATTTAGGGTTTCCCATTAATGTACCGGGCGCTACAGTGGAATGTTCTACTGCAACACTCCCCACGCAAATACACAATGTACCCGCGACTGTTACAATGAAGGCTCGATATTCAGCTCACGGCTGCATATAGGTGTAAGCAGGGGTAAAGTGCTATTTTTACAGGTGGTGTGTGGACCTCACATAGGGGGGTCCGGGGGTCAGCTCCCCCGGGAAGATTTATTTTTAAATATTGAAGTTGAAAGCATCAATCTGGTGCACTTTGAGAGCAAAATGAAGAGATCTATGGATACATCTCTCAACACCCATATGAAACAGAACTGTTAACAGATTTACTTTTTCTTTATGGATATTTTACAAATCACCCTTTTAAACTTTATTCTTTTGTTACTGTCATATAGTATTTCATACCTGTTTTTCATTTATTCTCTTATTTTTGTATAACTATAATGATCTAAACATGTGCCTCGGAAATAATTGTTTACATTAATTTGAGACCCACTGAGATAACACTGAGAGAGTCCTTTAGCTCACTGAGTCTCTCAGTCTGACAGGAGAGGACTCTCCTCCACCTTGTTGTTGAAAAAACGCCTTATATCTGTTAGCGTAGCTCGCTAGCACCAGAAGCTAACAACAACGATCTCCGGTACCGGTGTGCTCTCTCTCTCGCGCACACAAAATGGCTCGTCACACACACACACACACACACACACACACACACACACACACACACCACACACACACACACACACACACACACACACACACACACACACACACACACACACACACACACACACACACACACACACACACACCACACACACACACACACACACACACACACACACACACACACACACACACACCACACACACACACACACACACACACACCACACACACACACACACACACACACACCACACACACACACACACACACACACACACACACACACACACAGAGCCAAGCGTTAATGAAACACAGAGACCCAGACGTAATAGTACTGCATCATATTATTTTCGAATCAATAATTTTTCAAATTATGATTTTTTTTTTTTTAGCTTTTTTTTTTCTTATAACCATTTTTCCTCCTGGTCTCTCGCGCCCCCCCTGGCATGCCTCTGCGCCCCCCAGGGGGTGCGCGCCCCCCACTTTGAGAACCACTGGTTTAGGTTAATTACATTCTGATGGCAATACTTTTTTACTTAATGAATTTTCACTCGTAAATTCGTAATGGAGTATTTTTACAATGTTGTATTACTACTTTATCTGAGTACTTTGTCTAAGCCATAGCAGTACCTGAAATCTTCTGGATGGTCGTGTGACATGTCTCCAGCAGGTCAGGTTTAAACTTCCCCGGGACAGTCTCTCTGGAGTTGATGATTTTCACTTTGCCTTTAAAAAGAAAAGAAGAGTTATTATCAATACACTTTGTCCCCAGCGTAGGACACTCATTATTTTTTGCTGTATGAATGGATGAGGCTGTTACCAGAGCTGTCCATCACTGTGAATATGGACCCCCCTCCGAGCCCCATGCTCTGCGGGTTGATGATGGAGGTGCACAGCAGCGCAGCAATGGCGCCATCTACCGCTGAGCCCCCTCCCTGAAGCATGTCCCTGAAAAATGTCACGCATCACAAGTAAAGCCAAAGTATTTCCTTTTTGTTACATGCATTGCCCGTGTTACAGAGAGTTTACGTGGTTATATGAATTATGCAGCTCTTCATAATAACTTTAGCCATAACAGAAGTGTAAAAGGCTACTCACCGTGCAATCTTTGAACATGTTGCCGAGTCTGCGGCCACTGCAGCGATGGAGAAAGTACCATCTGGACAATCGTGCCTAACAAGTACAGCAATACACACAATAACAGCCACCACGCACAGCATCACCACTGCACAGCAAGTGTACACTTTAGCTTTTGACCTCGCCATAACTGATGTGATTCAGGACCTCCACTGGGAGCATTCAAGTCTAATTTCACCTTTACATGTTAGCCTAACCCCTCTCAGATGTTACAACTGGTTTTTTCCAAATTTGGAGCCTAGTTGGTCCATCAGAAAGGGGTGTTCACAGGGCCTGGCTCCACCCTCCACCCGCATGCAGCCCGAGAGGAGGGGAGAGAACTGCTGAGTCATGCCCTGAGGAGGTGTCACCTCACACTCTGAACCTGTTATGACCAACCTGATCTCACCAGATTGCGTGACTCCACCACGACTCCTTAACACCACATTGCGTGGTGGAGTCACTAACTTTGCACCACGGAAACAACCCCAATGTAAAGTGAATTACCTTGGTCGTGGTGCACACACGCATTTCTACAACGTCCTGCAGTGAGCTTTGTATTCTATAAAACGTTTTTAAAATCTACTTTATAGCTTGTAGTAACTCACGGGAGGCTTCTTTTATTTTATTTGTATTCATAATCATTTGTATTTTTCGTCAGAATGTAGGCCTATTATGGTGCATTAGTTACCAATTTTTGTTCTCAAAAAACAGTGCATTGTGTGTCATGCATTCTGGTGAGATCAGGTTGGACAAAGGAGCCTCATTCACTTTACATTGGGGTTGTTTGCGTGGTGCCGACACGTAAATGTAACAAAGTTAGTGACTCCACCACGCAATGTGGTGTTAAGGAGTCGTGGTGGAGTCACGCATTCTGGTGAGATCATGTTGGTTATGGCCCTACTGTGGGGTAACTCAGGTGGCAGGCTTTAGGTGTAATAGGCCTACTAATAGAAACTCAAAAGACAAAATAAAGCAAAGTGAAAACCAAAAGATAACCCCAGACTTTACAGTGAGTGGTTAGCGCCAAAGCTGCAAAATAGTGCATACTCAAATACCTGAATGCTTCTTTTTAGCCACCTTGTCATTTTGAAGCTTTAGTAACTTGAATTTATTTATTGTCTATCAATAATATCAATTTGTAAATAGATTACAATATATTATCATTTAATCCATCCATTTATAATGTCATTTAAATCACCTCCTTTGCCACATGTTATGAACTAACTAATGCATCAATATTTGAATAGGCTATAGTATTTGTTACTAGTAACCGGGTAGTTCTACACTGTATTAGTACTTTTACTCAAGTAAACATCTTAATACTTTTTTCTACCATTGCAAAAAGGCTTTTACATGTGTGATATATTCTCATAAATGAGTTTTTAAGTTGTTTCAATTGTTCTGATTGTTTTAATGATGCCTTCCCTTATCAGCAATGTACCAGATAACCCAGTGAGACAAGCTTTTGTAACACCTGCAGCAACAGGTATATAACAGCTACTCAGTGGCGACTGGTCATTAGTGTCAGCAGAAAGTATTACAAATAATGATTACAAAAAATATATATATATAAAATATATTTTACGATCATGTTTAATCATCTGATTTGTCTGTACATTGCTGTTTTAGTCTGTGTTCTTCTAATTAGTGTCTACAATGTGTGCCTATTGAGGTGTTTAGAGCCATGTGCAATAGTATGAAGCTGCGGCCTTGCAGCTTCATACTATGGACTAGGTTGGAATGACACCACTTTACCAGTGTTGCAAAAGAATGCTAACTCAAAGCTAGTTAGCAGCTACAAGGATTCCAAGGAACAGGAGGGCTGTGTACCGGGTAATAAATCTACAAGTGGTAGTCCTCCCTCGAACTCTCTGGGTGCAAGGCCGAAGAGTAAATCATTTCCATGGGATTTGGGAGAACGAACAACAGGCAGAGCCCAGCGCTCTGAAATCTGTGATGCGACCGGCTGGCCTGCATTGTTATCACCCAGGAAGAGCGCCGCTTCAACCCCTGTTCCTACTAGGAAACAGCCGTGGACAGCTGCTAAAGGGAGAACTACAAACAATCCTCCTAAACCACCGAGTGTGCCAATCCAGAACAGATACGCTCCGCTGACCGAGAACCGGAGATCTCTTTCTGATGACCTGGATAACCTGTCCTCTTCACACAGCAGGGTAAGGACCAATAGCTACTCTAAAAGTAAAAGGCTAGAGGGAAAGCTAACGACTGGGCCTGAAACTCTGATTGTGAGTTACTCTGCTGTAAGAGATGTAAAAGGTCTGTTAGTAAGAACAACACCAAAGTACTCTGTTTTCCCAAGGATATGGTCTCTGACTTGGCTGAGAAGATCCTGCATATTGGTGCTGAACATCCGACTGGGAAGAATGTGGTACTGCACATTGGAACAAATGATGTTGTGAAACAACAATCAGAAGTGCTGAAAAAATACTTGAAATGTCTGTTGGAAACTGTCAGCTCTCTAAATGCAGAGGTGTTCATCAGTGGCCCTCTACCGCCAGTCAGAAGAGGAGTGGAGAGATTCAGCAGATTGTTTGCACTGAACACCTGGCTTTCAACTGTCTGTATTGACCATTCTGTCAATTTTATTGACAACGTTAACTTTTTCTGGGACCGCAGACATCTTTTTAAGGCAAATTAAGTTTGTCTGAACAAGTCAGGAGTGAAATTGTTTATCTCTAATGTATTCAACTGCCGACGTCATCAATCTGTTCCCTCTGCCAAGGACAAGCAACAAGAGGAATCAAAACAAGAGAAAGACACAACACATTGCTCAGAAAACCTTGAAAATCTATCACTGCACCCGCCTGAGGAATGTCTTGATTATGGGAGACAAATGGAGGAGTCCCCACCGCCCTTCACCCCCCCTATCAACTCTGAGGATACTCTTCCTTCACCCCACAGCTCTCTCTACTCTCCGTTCACCCTTTCACCCTCGCTCACCCTCCTGGAGATCGCTGAACACACAAAGGAGATACCGAGGGTTGGCACTGATTCCTTCCTGGAGTTCAAAGACCAAACTAAGGCGATACGCAGGGTTGGCAGCATGTCCTTTACCCCCGCTCCTCAACGACGCCCACCAAAATCACCACAGAGACGCGCACCATCTCCCCCGTCTTCATCACCGTGCCTACGTCAACCACCTCCCCCCCCTGGCAGCATGTCCTCTACCCCCGCACCATCTCCCCCGTCTCCATCACCGTGCCTACGTCAACCACCTCCCCTCCCTTCAAGAAAGCATCTGCAGTCTCCGAAGCCTGATAAGGATGTGTGTGTACAAAATGCAACAAACTCTTACTGATATGTGCTGGGTCCAGGCTCAAGGGCGTATGGCACTCTCAACTCTTTCCAGGACATGCCAGGGCCCTGCCTGCCAGTAGCTTTGCCGATATCTGTGTTGATAGGTAATAAATTAAGAGCGGTGAATCAGCTTAGAAACAGGAAGCGCTCAAAAGTTTGTGTGAGTTTATCAAATTTAGCAGTGATTCCATGTCAGCCACAGCTTGTCACACAAAATCTTACTGATAGTGTATCTAACAAACTTAAACTAACTTTATTAAATGTCAGGTCTCTGGCAGGAAAAACAATTTTAATCAATGATTTTATCACTGAGCACAATCTTGATTTTATGTTTTTAACGGAAACTTGGATTGAACAAAATAACAGTGCAGCTGTTCTTATCGAATCAACCCCTCCCAACTTTAGTTTTATGAGTCAGGAAAGAATGCATAAGAGAGGGGGTGGAGTTGCTATTTTGTTCAATGATTCCATTCAATGCAGGAAGACATATTATGGGAACTTTGCTTCTTTTGAATATGTGGCCCTTCAACTGAAATGCTCCTCTCGAGCTCTGTTCCTAAATATCTATAGACCACCCAAATACTGTGCAAGCTTTTTTGATGACTTTACTGAACTGCTGTCTATAGTGTGTAATGACTTTGACCGTCTAGTCATTGTTGGTGATTTTAACATCCATGTTGACAACCCCCAGGACAGAGGGGCTAAATAACTGTTTTGTGTTCTTGATAACTATGGACTGACTCAGCATGTGACGGAGCCCACGCACAATAAGGGGCACACTCTGGACTTAATTATCTCAAAGGGTCTGAATATCTCTAAGGTTGTGGTGACTGATGTTGCACTCTCTGATCATTCCTGTGTTTTCTTTGAGAGCTCTATTTATGTTCACAAAAATGTTCAAAAAGAGGTAACCACAAAACGATATTTAACTGAAAATACTAGGGAAATGTTTACTCAGAATTTTTCTTCCACACTTGCCCCTGCTAACATCTCAGTAAATGAGCTAGTAGATCATTTTAATTCAAAAATTAAAAATGTTATAGATGCCATTGCTCCAACTAAGGTAAAGGAAGTGACTGGGAAGAAAATATCTCTCAGGTCTTTAATGACATCCACTTAAACACAGACAGTGGCAGAACTTCAGTGTTAGTATTATTAGATCTCAGTGCTGCGTTTGACACTGTTGACCACAACATATTACTAGACCGACTAGAAAACTGGGTGGGACTTTCGGAAACAGTTCTAAATTGGTTTGAATCCTACTTAAAGGACAGAAACAACTTTGTTTCTATAGGTAAATACACATCTGAGTTGACAAATATAACATGTGGGGTACCTCAAGGCTCCATCTTTGGGCCTCTTCTCTTTAACATCTACATGCTACCACTGGCTCAGATAATGAAAAACAACAAAATAAGTTACCATAGCTATGCGGATGACACACAAATGTACGTAACAATTTCACCAGGAGACTATGCTCCAATTCAAACACTGAGTAAGTGCATTGAACAAATCAATGACTGGATGTGTCAGAACTTTATCCAATTAAACAAAGATAAAACTGAGGTAATGGTTTTTGGAGCCAAGGCAGAACGTATAAAAGTTAGCGCTGAGCTTCAGTCTGTAATGTTCAAAATAACAGATAAAGCCAGAAATCTAGGTGTAGTCATGTACTCTGACCTGAGTTTCAACAGTCACATTAAAACAGTTACTAAATCAGCCTACTATCTGTGCGTAAAAAGGCACATCTTTACCCGCTGGTGCTGCACTTCTCAGAGGCGGAGTTTACGTCCCTCTGCCTCCTGATGCTGCCTGCAGCCATTTCATGAAGTGAAGGAGGTTTTCCTTCTCTAACAGCTGCGGGCAGCAGATACCGTGAGAGTCCCGGACATGAATTCATAGATCAAGGCAGACTGGTTTACTCTCCTGTTTTGCCAATCCGGTGCTTAAACAAATAGCCA